AAGTAAGTGACAAAATGAGACATAAAAGAAAGTATCAATCTAAAGCTAAATTAGTAAAACGTAAATAAAATGTCACTAATCTTCTTTCAAATATGTTCAACTATTATAAGGGTAAAATATTTTATGCTACCTGATAAATTTTATAAAGTTGATTTTATTCACAAATTTGTTTTATAATTATGTTTATTAAATTATGTTTAATAATAATGCATTCTACTTGTGGATCTATTTTATTCTTAGGTTGGTATCATTTAAGTGAAGTTCAGGCAAATCTAATATCTTTAATTGAATTTATTCAATTCCCATTTGTTGATGGGTCCTTAATTTTTTTCATTAATTGTCCTTAAAAGTACTTAATTTCCATGTTCAGAAATATGTGCGAACCCTGAAAAATGGCTCACGTGTGATTAGAATTATAAAATAATACAGTGATATTATAGCCCACTATTCGTGAATTTGAGTTATTTGTAAAGGTAAGAAATGCATGCATCACATGAACAAGGAATAATATATTGAATTGCATTTTTTGTTACCCTCTACGCCAGAAAATGGAAATCACAGCAGAAATTTTGATAAAAATCACTTTTGATGCATTTTGTATTTTTTATTAAAAAAAAGTAGGATTTGATGGTATGTATTCTACTTTTATGGGCTTAATTAATTTATTAATAATTTAATTTTGAGATGAGCTTTATAATTATCACTTGTGACAAATAGTTTTCTGTGTTCATTTATCTATTCAAACAACAATATCTTGTCTAGAAAAGACTTGCTATCATTCACAATTTTGCATTATTTCAGCACATTACTGGCAAAGTTTTAGTATCCTTGAAGCACCAAAACTTTTTAATTTGCTACTCATTAAAAGTGGAAGTTTTTCATTACCTGTATATTCATATATTTCATTTTTAATTGAATTCATCTTCATTCAAAGTAGTATTTATTAGCCAATAATGCTGTATGAATGCAATTAATTTCCTCAGCCAGCATTCTTATCATATATTTTAGAAAAGAGATTTTATTTTATGGCATTTTTTCTCTCTCTTTTCGTTTTGTTTTATTGGTTGAAATATAGACGAGTTTCGATCAAACTTCCTTAGTATCTTTCTGTAAGGCGTATGATTTTGGCCATATTACAGTTAGTATATCTGCATTTCTCAATTTGATACTAGTCTAGTCCTTTCTTTTGTTACATCTTTTCTAATAAATGCTTCACTCTTTTAGAAAGGAAAGCTAATTTTTAAAATATCTTTTCATTTCATAAATTCATCAAGTAGTCAATGCACATGTTTTCTGAGAGCAAGAAGTGAGAATGGTTAGAATGAATATTTGTCCTTGTTATCATCAGAACTATAGTTTATGGCTAAAGACAACATAGAGGTCTGTTGCTTATAGAGCAGGCTTTTTCACACCAATAGGAACTGCACACATATTTAAGAATTCAGACTACCTAAGGGATATGCAAAAGTTATGATGTTCTGAAATTTGTGTACCTATAGCTATTATATCTGTTACAGGATGTTCACTTTTTTTACATGTCTTTGACCTACAAATGCTATTAAAGTAGTGTACTGGATCTCTCTCTCTCTATATATATATGTATATATTATCATATTATAAAATTAACAAGCAAGGTAGTTAGTACAATACCGTAAGACTAATTTGGTCTAAATAATTTTTTTGTGCAATATGCTACAAAATTAAGGATATGAGAAATTGTAGAAAGCTTGCCAAAAAGTTACCAGGAGCTGTGGCTCCAAGAAAAGTTCAAAACATTTTTTAAAAAAACAATGTCATCGAAGGGTGCAAAATTATGCTACACGTTAAATTAAACACAGTAAAATACTAATCTTTGGAAACTAGTAATGGCAAAAAATACAGTAAATACCTATCGATGTGACAAGTGAAAAGTTAAAACATAGAAAAACCAATCGATGGAACAAGTTAAAACATAAAACAAACATAAACATATAAAAATATAAAGGAGAAAATGGTAAATTAGTTGAACTCGAAGTCCAACCTGGCTTTTCAAGGGAAATTTCTACTTGAACGTCGAATTAAGCTAACTCCATTATGCGTTTCGCCGAAAAAGGCAATTGAAACTTTTACGTTACAAAATTTTAATTAAATAGACGAATTGTCTTAGAAAATTTATTAGTCTCAATTCTCTGTTCCAATTTCCCAACGCGTCCGCACAAAATGACACATTAAGGTGTTAAAAGATGTAAAAACAATTCCGATGTACAAGAATTAAGATAAAAATAAAAATAAATAGCAGTCTGCTATTAGTAAAAAAATACAAAAACTTACGGGCTGGACCTGCAAGCTTAATGAATTATACCTTTATAAATTTTAGAAATCTGAAATTAAATTTAAACGAAAACAAACACAGTGGGTCTTGCTAAGACCAAGAAAAAATTTTTTTGTAAAAGAAACTGAAAAAACAGACCTGTGGTTATGCAGAGTTCTCCATCGTGTAACTAAGTTGAAAAGGGGTTGCAATTCCCATCTGTGTCCTTCATTGCCATCCCACTCATCGTGTGACGTAAGTAGAGGAGAACAATGTCACTGGGCAACAGCCAATGTGATTAGAGTGCCCATTGGCTGTAACTCGTCCCTGATTTTCAAAGGGGGGTCAGAAGACTCGGAAAGACGTGAAAAGATTTCAAAATGGCCTCAGTCAAGTTGTTTAAAGAAAAAACTGCTTCTAAAAGTGAAAATGGCTAATTCAGCTAAAATTACTCAACATGGGCACAAAAGTAAGAGTAAAAAGGAAAAAACAGTCATTTGTTAATAAAAGTCGTAATTCTTCAAGCTAGAGGGCAGTCAAGCTACAGTGAAAAACGAAAAGGCCCGATTTGTTAATAAAAGTAGCCATCAAAGTAATTTAAAACTATTTAAACAATAGTATTAAAAGTATTGTGCCAAAATTTTTTGGAGGAAAGAAAATGTAGTGACAAGAATTATCTGTACATTTTTTACATTAGATTCTCTGAATCGGCCATCCACTTTATACCGTCCCATTGGGCTTAAGCATAAAAATCACTATCTAACTCAAAAAATCTAAAAATTGGTAAGGCTAATGCCACCTTTTTTTTAATGTATTTTTAATTATTTTATGAGGAATTAGGTTATTTTTTCAAGATAGTTACGAAGTATAATATTCTTCTTGAAAGTGTTTTGTAGTATTGCAGATTTTTTTTATTCTGAGTAGCTGTGAAAAATTGTGTTAAGGATGACTCTTTTGAAAATATTAATTCCAGCTGGTTATTTTAGTGTTGAAAAATAAATTAAATTCTCTTCTTTTGTCGTAAACTTTTATAAATTGTAATCAATATATAGTAAATCAAGGTAGACTACATTATATTGCACTGTATTTGTATTATTTAGTTTTAAGCATGTAGGGTAGATATAGCAACTTCTGTTTGTTATAGTTATTAAATGCAATGACATCATCAATATATCTATAGATGTGTTGGTAAAATTTATGTTCTTCTTTACTGAGTGAACGGACAAAGGTCAATTCTTTTGTAAAAAGGAATAATTCACAGCCAGAACTTGAAAAATTACCTCCCATTGGAATTCCCTGTATTTGTTTAAAGATGCTATTGTTAAATTGAATAAAATTATTGAAAAGCACGCTGGAGAGGAAAAGTTGCCATTTTTCGTTGCTTATAATGGTAGAAATTTGCGGAAATAAATCTGCAAAAGCAAGTAAGCTTGTAAAAATTTCTTCAAGTGGCAAAGTAGTATAGAGATTTCAAAGTCGTAGCATTGGATATGGGTTTATTTTGAGTGAATTACGTTTTCAGAACTAGTTCGTTACTTGAAATCATCCAGTTGCAATGCAGACCTTAAAAAATCATAGTTATTAATTAGGTCACGTATTAGTCGAAGTTTTTGTGCAAAAAGATAATCTGTTTTCTTTAAGATAACTTTTGGTACTATTAGCTATGAACCTGAATTTTTACGGAGACTTATGAAATTTTGGTATGCATAGAAGATTTGCAACCTGTTGTTATATTTCTGGGGATGTATTTTAAGTCTTTTAGTAGTGCATTAAATTTATTGAAGAAAATCTTAGTGCTGGTAGTAATTTTTTGGTAAGTCATGTGTTATTTAACTCATTATGCAGAAGTTGAAGTAAAACTGTTTACAATAACACTAAAATTGTTGCTGGCTTTGTCAATCTTTGTGATGGATAAAGTTATCTTGCAGTTTTGAATAAGATCTTCTAATGCTTTTTATTGTGTAAAGAGTTGAAATAAGGTGACTTGAAAAGCAAATGTTGAAATTCTTTAATTAGTGCAGCTTTCCATTCAAGAAAAGTTGTAGTAGGCAAATTGGATCTATTATTAGCTTAATATGATAAATTTATCAAGATCATTATTGAATTGTTTGAGGCAAAAGTGCTTATTAATACCAAAAGTAGGACGAAATTTGGTGCCAAGTTGCATAAGGGTTCGTAATTCTATATCTTCAATGATATTGATATCTCCAATAATAACATGTTGGTGGAAAGGATCGTCATATTTATTGTAGACAGGCATTAGGCAATTACATATGCTATTTTCTTGTATAACATGGTGGTTGATAACTAGTTGACCTAAGGTCTTTTCAAATTTAAAACAGGGCTTAATTTGAAGTTGTTGGTCAGGAAGCAAGTGTTGATATTTTTTAAAAATGCTAGGTATTTTTAGCTGATCGTAAGAAGAGTGCTTTAACTATATATATATATGATCACATTTACACATTAAAAATTTATCACATAAAAGAGCAGTGAATTTAGTTATTCAATTTTCAATGCTTGATGCTGAAATTTAAAAAAAAGATATATTTTCAGTAGAGAGCTTTATTTTTATCTTTTTATTACTATTATTTTGCATACATTTAGGGGGAAAGTAAATAATAATTATAAAAAATAATATTTATATGTTAAATTAATTTTTTAATATATTTTTATGTAATTGTTTCATTTAGAGTATTGATTTTCAAAATAGATATGGGCCAGTTCTTTTCTTCCTGATGAGCCTCGAATTGAAGATACCCAGCAGCATGAATATTTTAATAAACATAAGATACCTTTGCTTTTGGAGTATTTAAATGAGGAAATCATAAGAAAGGTATACTAATTATATGTTTATATTATAAATTAGAATAAAGTAATATTGAATTTCAAAGTAATTTTTTTCTAAGTAGCCATTATGTATTTATATAAAATTATCATTCCAGTACCTTTGCCTTATTCAAGAATACAATCTCGACCTTTTGTGCTATATTTTTATTCTAAAATTAGGTTGTATCTTATAGTTAGGAGTTTTGATATATGAAATTGCATAATAAAGATAAGGAAGCAAACTATCATACTGTATATAATAACTGCATTGTTTAAATACTAAATAAGCCACCTATTTAGTTTAAATACTAAATAAGTAATTATCATAAATATATATGAAATAATTCAGAAGTTAAAGATGGAGATGCTTGCAGCTGACCAGTTTGGAAATTCCTTTATTATTGACAAATTTTGATGCAGGTACAAATAAATTGGCGCTCAAAATGCACCTGTACTTTAAGGAATTTTCATATTTTTGAAGTAAGGAATTATATCTGAAGAATGAAAGAGCAGTATCATATATCAAGCTTAGAGGAGGAAAGCAAGAGAGTGAATGTGACATCTCAAATCAAAAGGATTTTATTTTGGTTTAGCTTTTCCCTCTTGATAATTAAAAGGTTTGTTTAAAAAGTTTTTAATTATTTTTGGCTGAAGCATTATGTAAATACCTGCATCAATAATGTTCCATAAGAATTATGTGAGAATAATTGATTTTGAAATGATGTAATTTATATTAATTTATTGGATGGGAAAACAGAAAAGAGAAAAAGCAGATTAAAAAGGAGAGTTAAAGGACTACTTTAAATTAAAGTTTGTATTTTATCTTATCAATTTTTTTACTTTTAATCTTCATATTTGTATATTTCATAATTATCACTACCACCACATCTAGCTGCACAATTTCAATTTAAGTCTGCATCTACGAAGTGGTGTAGCTCAAGGGGGGGGGGCAAGGGAGACATCTATCCCCAGGCGCAGCATCCAGGGGATGCCAAATTGATGTTGTGAATTTTTAAAATGAAATGTTTTCCATTCTTGATAGACAGGAGGAGATGTGAAATTTTCAGTTGCAGAATACCCTAGCTACAGTTCTGAATCTACTGTATTGGTCACTGATATGCTTAAAAACAAATTGGTAGCAATTATCACTAACAATGCCTTTGGGTCGCAGCTAATGGGGCTGTTATTTCAAGGAAATTCTGAAAGAAGGGGAAAAAACCCAAGATTCTCTTTCTCAGAAATACTGTAAGACAAAATATTAACATACATTTTTATTTCTTAAAAATATGTTCTAGAATATAAAGAGGGTCATATTTTTGAGTAAATGCAGCATTATTTTAACTTTCTAGTTTTCAAATAGTTGTCATTCATATTAATCAGGGTTCCATGCAAGGATACATGCAGGTAAATATCATAAACTGCCTGTGTGTACAGAAATTTGAATTTCAAATATTGATATAAAAACTAATATATATTGTGTTTTATTTCAAGTCTGGCTATAGTTTGGGAGCTATAAAGCACATAGTTACCTTACTTTGACAGATTAAATTTTAAATACGGAAGCAGAAAAAAAAAAAAAAAAAACTCAGTACTGAAAAAATAAAACCGATTTTTCTGTTTGTTGCACACCGTGGGCTCCTAGAGATCTTCTTAACAACTATGTCAAATTTATAGAAAGAAACTGACACAATTTTTAAATAAATAATAACTAGAGCAAAGTAAACAGCTGCAAATATCGAAAAACAAAGACAAATTCATACATGTGAAAAATATCACAGATGACCAGAAGCTGCAAATTCTCAAGTAATCATCACAGCCATATTAATATTAACAGAATCATTCAAGTAACTAAATGGCCATTGTGTTGCCCTGCATTTAAGGAAATCTTACCTACAGTTTCAAAACTTCTAGAATGTTACCAAGAAAATCAAAAAAGAATCTTCTAATTTCATTAAGTTGGCCAAAGTATTGCCAAGTGTCACCAAGGCCTACTGGTGGTATCTCAGACTCTGTTTGAGCTGTCTTTACTACTTAAATGTCAATGGATTTAGAATCAAAAAATCTATACATGAAATAAATGCTTGCTAAATAGGTACAATTTATATTAAACAAAAATACGCAGTAAAATTATTACATAAAATACACTAAACATATAAATTAAGTGAAAAATGCATAATAATATAAAATACATAAAAACCAAACACAATCAAATAAGTGCAAATATTCACATAATTTATTCAGTCAATTAATAGATATGGAAAACTATTAGTCAGAGAAATGCTGAAGAATTTTGAAATGAAATATTTCAAATACAGCACTTAATCTGTATATTCTTAATGCTTTAATTTAGCTCTAAATTCATAGAACATTAGATATAAACAATAGTCACTTAAAATACATTATTTTTTTTAGAAACTGCCATTGTATCCAGTTTACTCATATTGTAGATAAGTAATGTACTACTAAGGGATGGATTTTATATTTCCACAGATCTACTAAATTTCAGACTTTGTAGCTTTTAATGATGATTTATTGATTTTTGGGTACTGTGTAAATGATAATCAAGCAAGTACTGAACATAGTGAGAAGAAAATGCCACAGATTGCATTTTTGAGTTCTCTTTCTAGTTCAGAGACTGTAAAGATAAATGCTTAAGAGAATATGTAATAAAAGACAAACCCCCCCCCCCCAAAAAAAAAAGTGATCAAGAAGTTAAGAGAGTGAAATCTTTGAACCCAGTATCAATTTAATAACTGATTTCTTTTCTAAATTTAAAAGTTTCATTTATTCACTTTTAAAAAATGTATGCTTTCTTGTGTATGTATATATATATATAATTATGTACCAAATGTAAGTATATACATCTATATAGTAAATGTAATAGAAATTTTGAGTTTTATGGTAAATGATGTAGATGCATGAACACCTTGTTTGGCATATAAAAAGATTATAACATTTGCTGTGGCCAATTCAACATAATGCAAATGCAACTAGTGCAGTTTGTGCACCTGTTCTTGAGCACATTTGGGCCTTTATTATATCTATGTAATAATTAATTTCAATGAAAGAAAGATAAGCATCAACGTGTTGGCACGGCCGAACGAGAGAAGAATACACAAATGAAAATATAAATGTTTGTAAAGCTATGTTTTCAGTTTCTTCCAATTAACTAATTTAGGTTTTAGTTTGCAAATTTTAATATTGTTTTTGGCTGAAACTTTATTTAAATAATTGCATCGTAAGCATTATGTAACTATCATACAACAGAGGTTCTTTTTTAAATGATGCACTTCAAGGAGATTTATTTCAGTAGATTTCTCATGATCTGCACACTCTGAGGCTATGGATTGTACAAATTATTAAATTAAAAATGTCTATTTTTTTCATATAATTAATCAACCAAATTATACTTTAGTAATTATATAATTAGGATTTGTTGAATACAAAACTATTACATTTTAAAAAATATATAGATAATAAAGATAATCTATAAAAATATCAGTATGTGAGAAAAACCTTATTTAGAGAAAAAGGGATAAATGATAGGGAATTTTTTTTGAGGAAGCGAACTCCTTTGTTTAGAAACATATTGAAATATTTAGTTGTATATCCACCTTGAAATTATTTTAAGTAACTTTTATACTTTTAAAAGGGGGGAGGATAAATAAGTAAATACAGGTATGCAAAAACCTCACATTTATTTATGTTAAATCCACTATGGCATTTATCTCATATGCTGTTTGATTAGTAACATTAAAAGCTGCTTACAGGAAGGGATAGAATTGAAATTTTGGATTTATTAAAAGAAAATTTTTATTTTTTTCTTAATATGTAGATGTCATTCTTAATATGTTTTTGATATTCAGAATGAGATAAATTTCTATACAGGCTAAATAATATATCCCTGTTCGTTAATGATGCAACAAATTTCCATTTTGTCATACAGGCTGTAAACATACAAGTTACGAGGAGCATTTCAGTTGGTATTGAATATTTGAAAATTTTATTTCTGTGAATAATAAGTTCTTTACAGATGTTAACCACATAATTCAAAATTAATATTAAAAAATGATGGAACGTGCTCAAAAGCAATGATTTGTGTATAAAATGAAAAATATTCAAGTTCATGTACCATGAATACTATTAAAAAGATTTTGCAGAATACATTAAATAACTTCAGTAATAAAATTAATTTAATTTATCAATTTATGTTGCAAATATCATGCTGCAATTTTTAGAAAAGTTTATTTGCATATTGGAAAAAATACCACTAAGTTTAATATGCTGATTTTTTTTAATTGGGATTTAATTTGTTTACATCCAAAAATAAGCACTGATTACAGACATTAGCTGATTAAGCAGGGGTGGATCATTGGATGTCTACTATATAAGCATGCTACTATTTTTAGGATAAAAAGGAGAAATAACCAAATTTAATGCAGTATAAAGTCTGAGATCAAATATCCGAACCTTCAGATCACCAACAGTTTTTTTTTTTTTTTTTTTTTTTTTTTTTTTTTAATGAAGTCTAGGAAATAAGAATGTATTAGTAAAAAAAAGGCAAGTGTGTTGTAAAAGCTATTTTTCTCCTGTTTGAGATTCGTGTATGTCACTTTCAAGCACTTGCTGGTTGGGGAAGCACATAGTGGCAGTAACAGTATATTAATTGGGTGGGTACTTGTATTAAAACTGGCATTCAGTAGCTAGTCTTAACAGCTCTTTCCACTTGTCTCCGCCCAGACACAATAGTGTTTAGAGATTCTGACTATCATATTGAAGGGCCTGGGTTTGAATCCCTGGGAAGGCATGGTTGTTTGTAAGCATGCATTTCTGTGTGGAAAGGGGGCTGTCAAAATACATGACAAGCCAAAATCCTTTTGAGAGATTGGTGCTAGGGAAGAGAGATGGAGGACCCTTGACTGCAACACAGGGTATTCCATCCAGGGCAGGAGCTTAGCAGTTAACAATGCTCAGTGATACCTAATTTGCCTGTTTGATTGCACCGTG